TTAGTCAGGTTCTTACGGAAGAGGATTAGCGCCACTGAAAAATAAAAAAAGGAATTCTGACTTTTTTCTCAGAATTCTGACATAGAATTCTGAGATTAAAGTCAGAATTCTGAGATTAAAGTCAGAATTCTGAGATTAAAGTCATAATTCTGAGATTAAAGTCATAATTCTGAGATTAAAGTCAGAATTCTGAGATTAAAGTCATAATTCTGAGATTAAAGTCAAAATTCTGAGATTAAAGTCATAATTCTGAGATTAAAGTCAGAATTCTGAGATTAAAGTCAAAATTCTGAGATTAAAGTCAGAATTCTGAGAAAAAAGTCAAAATTCTGAGATTAAAGTCAAAATTCTGAGATTAAAGTCAAAACTCTGAGATTAAAGTCAGAATTCCTTTTTTTGTTTTTCAGTGGCCCTAATCCTCTTCCATACCGGTGTAATGATTCGTTTTAACAACGATTCGATTCGTATCACGATTCACGACTGCCGATATGATTCAAGGACGATCTTGGTTCATTTAAAATGATCCGATCCAAAACATTTCAGTGACTTAAAACCGATTCAGTAACTTTTTAGCTAAAAATTCAACCAGTGTGACTGTGAAATAAATACTTTGATACTGGACAATGCAAATTAAGTTTCACAGATTCCTGTTGTTTCTTGTAAAGGAATCAAGCATAAATTGATAATACATACAGAAAAATAAACAAACAACAATTAATAGCAATAGTAGTAGTAGTAGTAGTAAAAGGCCAACTTGCCGAGCACAGATCAACGTAGTTGGATTGTAGGAAAAAAAATCGATGTGTAGATGAATCGTTACACCCTTACTATTAAAATATGAATATTACCATTTTGTCCGACTCTTGGTTAATGTCAAATTGTCATATCAAAGACATTTTAAACAATGTCAACTTTGCATTAAAAGTGTCATAATTTATAGAAAGACAGTTATAAACATTCATGAGGACTCATTGAACARGTGGAAGGTCGTCCAGGTAGTGCGAGACAAAACGGGCAATACTCTCACCTCGCTCATTTAACAACTTCAAGCAATCCTTTATTTTATTTACGTCTTTCTGTGTGTCCTTATGTTTGATGCTACGCTGCTTTGTTGGGCACAGTTCATACAGACGTCATTTTGGACTCTTCAATCCAATCAGATGAAAAATTGTTTGTGGCCAACAAGACAATGTCATCACGCGGCAGTGTTCTTATCTTATCAGAAATAAAATGTAGAAACTTATCTCCACAATCCATAAGTAGTATTATAGACTTCAGGTTTTGTACGAGAAGAAGCATTGACAGGATGTTACGCTCCTGCTGCCGCCGCCGCCATCACGGTTATGGTTAAGTAAATGTTTATCAAATGATGTCTAATGTTACAAGTAATTGTGGATCTTTTTAAAACTGTCCTTATCTTTTATCACTAAATGACAACAAAACCTTAAAGTGTATC